ATGGCCACTGAGATTCTGTGTGACAGCTACATATGTGTTTGTCCCTTCCTACTATTACTGCCTCAGCAGCACTCTCATAATCGCTGCATCGTAGCTACAGGGATTTGGCAGGGATTATAGATTTCATACCAGCTGCTGGAGCCCTCTGTGACGCCAGCAGTCGGATAGAGTTTACCAAAGGGGTTCCCTATATCGTGAAGGTGGCTATTGATCCATGCCCTCTAACCTTTGGACTCCACTGCCTGTTCTTTGCACACATTTATGCCTGAGAATCACCTCATGATACTGAAAACCTAAGGAGCTTATGTCTTTATCTCCAGTGCAAAGACATTATGCTCATTAACTGTAGTCTGAGTCTTTCATTTTTCAATCTAAAGGCAAATAAATGTAACTTTAAAATGTATATTTGTACTTGACTGGCTTGTAATAGGAAAAGTGACCCAATAAGCAAATTGAAACCCTAGTTTCCTGCATCAAATCAAAGCCTAAAGCACTATTCTAGGTCTCCCTCGTTTGATCACTGCAACTTAAAGAGTTTTTGTGGCTGAAAAAAAGAATCCCTCTGAATTAAATCACCAATGACACGTAGAAATGTGACAAGAACGGGAGGATTTGGGAAATTTGGGGCCCTAGGTAAAGACAACCAGGGGGCCCTCTGAACTGAGAGGACAACACATAAAACAGACCCATTCTACAGATAGAGAAATTTTAATAGAATAGACATCCATGAAAGACTTTTTCCAAGCACTAAGCTCACTTAGCTGATTGCTCCTTCCTGTGTTTCCAAAAAGGCCAAAGTAAATAACCCAGTCCTTCTTTTCACTGTAGACAAGCCATGATCTGCTTATCTGTTCTCCATTTTTCATTTGGATGAAATAATAGCTGCATGAATCATGACAGCAGACAAGATAGAGGAGAGCAGGAGGCGGGGTTACCAATCTACTCGCTCTGGAGAGCAGAGTTCGCTGCTTTTAGATGTTGTCTCCAAAGTCTCCAGTAGCAGAAAAAAGTTGCTACATTTGGCATTAGGTGCTTTTTTGAAATAAAAGTGCTAGAGGGGCCTGAAAAAATGTTAAATATTGCGAGAAAAGCGCTAAGTTGGCATCACTGCTTGTCGCATCGTTTGTTTTCAAATGGATTGCTGCTGTCTGTTTGGACCTTTCTGAACATGTGCAGCAAATGGACTGATCCAAATGGTGGACACTGAAGGGGCGGGGGGCTGAGACACACTTAATATTATCAGCGTACTCATGGCATTTTAGCCAAAGGATTTTTATCAAAAACATAATTAATGTGCACAAATAAGGAATAGTTGTATTAACCACACATGTAAACAGAGTTGTATGTGGCCCCCTGGAACTTGGGGTCGAGGCAACTTCCTAGTATTGCCTAATGGTAAACACCCCTCCCAAACACACATTTATGCCTGAGAATCACCTCATGATACTGAAAACCTAAGGAGCTTATGTCTTTATCTCCACTGCAGACATTATGCTCATTAACCGTAGTCTGAGTATTTCAGTTTTCAATCTAAAGGCAAATAAATGTAACTTTAAAATGTATATTTGTACTTGAAACCCTAGTTTCCTGCATCAAATCAAGGCCTAAAGCACTATTCTAGGTCTCCCTCGTTTGATCACTGCAACTTAAAGAGTACCTGTGACTGAAAAATAGAATCCAGTTGAATTAAATCACCAATGACATGTAGAAATGTTTCATGAACATATCTTACTAACTCCTTAAACCTTGAAAAACAGGCATTTATTTCCCATTTAAGTTATAGTTATTAATTAAATACATATTGTTTAGAAAGACCGAACTGTTGTGCATATTTAAATAATCATTTACGATCCCTGTTCGGACAGAAAGCCAGGGTGATTATATCTAGTAGGTTTCCACTGCTGCTGGCCCTTTAAGAAACACGCCTGGCAGCGGCGATTGAAAAAAAAAAATCCTGCCATTCATAAAAATAGGCCACAGCCGTCTCGTGATTGGTCAGACTCCTTAACATGAATAATTCAAGACCACCTGAGAGATGATTGGATCCTTCTTTGACGGACAGATTCTTTCAGCCAATTAGCGCGTTCCACTGCGTGCCGCTGGAGCTGAGGGGAAAATCAGCGGGCCATTGAGGAGAAGCTCAGTCAGAGGAGAGTCAGCCGGAGGAGACGGTTCATTCCAGCTAGCGGACGGACGGACGGCTAAACGGCTTCCGACACGTTGCACTTTTATTTGTGGATATTCTTTCCGTTTTTTTAACATAAGGGACCTTTATACAAAGAAAAAGGTAAGCTACGATGTTTAATTTGGCAGGAATTTGACAGCGAATGTATTTTTTTAAGCTACGTAATTAGAAAAAAAATGGCGATGATTTAGATGCTTTTATTTTGGTTTCTGTTGGTCTTAATGCGGGAAAGGTGTTTCTGAACTCCATGGTGGTTATAATTCACTCATGTTTAGGGTCATTGTGATTTGTTTTTTTTTTTCTGGCTTTCTTTTTTTATGAATGGAAGGGCCAGCACCCCCCACCCCCCCTCTCTCACGGATCAAGTTTCACTTCATTGAAGAAAACAACAGGGGTGGGTGGGGGGCAGGGCGGGGAGCAGTAGGTGCTGTGGTGTGCGTGTGCGTGTGGGGGGTGGACTCCGGACCCCCCATCTCTATCGGCTCTAACCCAGAAGTTTAACCGAGAAGAAGACTTTTTTTGCGGTTTGTTTCGTGCCTTGCTGCGCGGCTCCAAGTCTGTCTCCCTTAAATCACTTCCAATGTTTTCAGCTTTAATGTCCGACTGGAATAAAGAGGAAACTTTCCCTGGTTCTACATTTAAAATCCAATTTAATCCCGGCTGATTACTTATTATACTTTGCTGATAAATTTTTTTCTTTTATTTTTTTTTAGACCATCCTATTTTTTTTAAGATCAGTTTAAAAGCGAGTCCAGTCTGGATCTGGACTGATCTGTTAAAAATATAAACATTTTAAACATTTTTAATGTCAATATGATAACAAGAAAAGCCAACTTGCATGAATATATTAAGAAAATAACAAAAGTGATCTATGAAAAACACATTTTCTTTGGTCCAACATAACCTTTGAAGCATTAATGCTGATACTGGCACTGACACTTTTTAGTTTATCAACCTATATATAATTGTTAACTTGGCTTATTAACTTTTTAACTATTCAATTAGCATTTTATCTATCATTCTTAATTCTTTTCAACTTAATTTTCAGTAGGTAATATATCTTTCAGGGGCTCATCTAATTGGTCAAATGGCAGAATAAGATGTACAGCCATCTATCTTTGCTGAATGGCTGGATTCTCCATTTGTAAGGGGTGTGAAAGTGATTTAAAAAAAAAAGTTAACTTGCCTTATAAATGTTTAACAGCAGTGATCCACTCCTGACCTGAATCTGGCGTACATTGTGTGATTAGGGTGATGGCAAGGAGCTCCGCCATCCTCACAGATCAGAAGCTGTTAGACAAACCTGGACTTTTCAAACCAGGGCCAGATTTTTACAACTCTGATGATTGAATTAAAGCACAGGTCTGTGAAATCTCAACTCTCTTTCTAAAATGAAAAAAAAAAAAAGCAAAAAGTTTTATTGTTTTTAGTGTTTAGACCACCTTAAACACTAAAAACAAATCAAACATGTATGCAAATGGATGTGATCTTTGCCCTCGTCTTTGCTTCTTTGGTCGTTTTATGCATGAGTGTTGCTGGCTGTAAATAAGCAGGATGAACCGATCTGCCTCGGTGTTATGGATGAAATGTTCTGCATTGAATCAAATGGCTAAACTAAACCAGACCTAGATCAGCTCTAACCACAACTCTTGGGTATGTCAAAGTGGATCTCTGTCAGGTATAGCTTGTTTTCATCTGGAAGACATTATTTATTCAAAGCCTCGCTGCAGAGAAAGGATTGTAGTAACCATAACAAACTTTTCCAGTTTTTTCTGAGGTCCAAATTTATCATCTTCAAAGTAGGAAGACACAAAACCTTTAAATGAAAATGTCTTTGTTTGTTTTTTTCATAAATTCATATTTAACAGATCAGAAAGTTGTATTTAGAAGATTCTATCAGTCACCAATAAACTCTGATTTAACGTTGAAACCTAAACCTTAGGACCAGAGATTTTAGTTTTAGTCCTGCACTGCAAAAACGATCTAAAAAAAGTAAAAAATTTACCCTTAATTTGAGTAGGTAAATAAGATGATTTACCAATGGAATGAGTATTTTTACTCTTAAAATAAGATAATTAGATAATATGCACTTGTAATAAAACATTTGGTTTTTTTCTTGTTTTAAATGTAAATTGTTTTGTTCCATTGGCAAAGTGTCTCACTTACCTCCTCAAAATGCACTTATTTAGATTAAAAAATTTTGCAGTGTGTTTAAAATCACTGCTTCAGATTTTAGACTTAGCTAATTGACTCGTTTCGTTTTCACAGGATGCAAAGAGTCAAAGTTATTCAGATATTTTCCGCCGTCTTTTATTTTTTTTAAAGGAACGATCCTGAGTCGTAGCTCCGCTCGGCGTCTGTAATTATTGCCCAGCAGCTATCCTTTATTGGTCATCCATTAACAGGAGAAGGAGCAGTGAGTCATACGGCTCTGCTGTGAGAAGAGGGCAGCTCCACCGCCTCGGGTCGCCTGGTAAAGAGAAGCTGGGAGTGTTTAAGAGAGCGCGGCCCTCTGCTCCTGACTGCTGTCGCCTCTCAGAGAGGTTAACCAGCTCTGTCAGCTTTTTTTCTGTCTTGTTTGGGGGGATTTGTGATGTTGAACGCAGCGTGGTTTCAGCTGCGCTGGAAACATCCTTCCAAGTGTTTACTAAAGATCTCCTAAGCTGATGAGGAAAGGCGCAGCAGAGAGTGCCGCTTATATAACTGCTGTATGTGTTCCTGCATGCTAACTCTGTTTGTTGATTAAATACTGAGCTGACGGGGGGGTTGTAGCATCAGAATAAGATGCAGCTCAGCGTACAGGTTGCTGGGTATTGAGGCGGCACACCAAGGTGCTTGATGGGAAACCCTCTATAGACGTTTCACCTGTTTTATTCCACTGTTTTCCCAGATAATCCACCCGCCTCCCTCTGTCACACAGATAGCATGGACAGATTCTACGACCAGCAGGTCCCTTTTATGGTCCCACCCAGTGTAAGTGGACACACTTTACTGCCAGACGCTCCAGTCCTCACAGCAGCTGATGAAGGAGGCGTCTTCATGATGTTTTTTCCCCATCTCCTCCTTCCAAACAGCAGAACTCTGCCGCAGATGAAGCGCCCAGCGGCCGGCTTCTGAACGACAGGAAGAGGAAGTTCGTGGACACGGAGCTCGCCCAGGACACAGAAGGTAAGACTGTCCGCTGGTTAGCATGTTTCCCTCCGGGCGGCCGGCAGCTCACGCCTCTCACCTTCTCTTCCAGAACTCTTTCAAGATCTGAGCCAGCTGCAGGAGATCTGGATCGCAGAAGGTAGGAGCTCCAGGACCGCATAAAGCCAAACACGTCCAACGTTTTTTAGCATTAAAGTTTAACTCTGGAGAATGTCCAAAGTTTTTGTTTTTCTGAGTCGACCAGCAGAGCGAGAAGAGCAAAGTCCTCCAGAGGACAAAGTCTCTGTCTCCAGCCCCACCTTTGGTTCATCAACCCTTTTCTCTTGTCTCTACAGCCCAGGTTCCTGATGATGAACAGTTCGTCCCAGATTTCCAGTCAGAGAGCCGTAAGTACCTGGACCCCCCCCACCCAGTCTCTTCCATCTAGAGTTTAATCAGCCGGTTAGTGTGGCGCATCACATGAGCCATGGTCCTAATCTGATCTCGCATTTTTTCACACTCTGGGGGTTGGCTAAATGCCCAGCGCCCTGCTTTGCTCTGAAGCCGGTGTTCTGTCAGACCAGCATACCCATATTCAACACCCATGTATCCCTTTGGTTTTGTAAGAAAAATAAACTTAAAACTGCCTAAAGAGGCATGTATCCCTTTAGTCATGTAAAAGAAAAGAAAGATGACTAAAGGGATACACATCTGTTGAGGTAGTTTTAAGTCTATTTTTCCTACAAAACTAAAGGAACAAATGCAAATCTGACGTCTTGCGCATTGACTTTGGGTATGCTGGTCAGAACCAGAGAAGTTCTGTTGGACCCACTTTCTGTTCCTCTGAGTTAATGTTTTGATCGGATGTGTGGGAGGCGAAGACGTGGTGGGGAGTGGTGGTCTTTGTTGTTACTGGTTAGACTGGAGCAGCGGGCTACACTGCAAAAATTGTAAATCTAACTAAGGTACATTTTTCATAAAACAAGTGAATTTCTTCTTGAATCAAGCGGGTAAGTGAGAAGATTTGCCAATGGAATAGGAAAATTTACAGTTAAAATAAGGGGGGGGGGTAGTCTCTTTTTTTCAAGTGTATAATATCTAATGTATCTTATTTTAAAGGTAAAAATTCTAATTCCATTGGCAGATTATCTTATTTTCTTACTCAAATTTAAGGTAAATACACTTGTTTAAAGAAATTTTTAGAACCTTTTTGCAGGATAGCCTCTGGAGTTGCACACAGCAAGAACTATCTAGAAATAAGCAAAAATGTATTAAATTAAGTGTATTTAACCTTATTTGAGTTGGTAAATGTGATGTTTGCCATTGCAATTAGTATTTTTACTCTTAAAATAAGATAATATGCACTGTTTTTTTCTTATTCCATTGGCAAAATGTCTCACTTACACTGCAAAAACCATCTGAAACTAAGTAAAAATTTCTTAAATAAAGTGTATTTACAATTAATTTGAGCAGGTAAATAAGATAGTTCGCCAATGGAATGAGTATTTTTACACTTAAACCAAGGTAATTAGATAACATGCACTTGAAATAAGACAATGCAATTGTGTTTTTTTATTTCAAATGTAAATTGTCTCGTTCCATTGGCAGAGTGTCTCATTTATCTCCTCAATTCAGGATAAAATTCACTTATTTTAAGAAAAAATTACTTATTTAGAATAACATGTTTTGCAGTGCAGTTAGACATGATCATCAGATTTCCATGTTTTCAACTCAGATTTGTTTCAAATTTTTAACCTTCCTGAAATCAAAGATCAGATCCTCGGCCTTTCAGGGTGAATCTCAGCGAACGCGGGTTCGTTTCCACTCCTGTTGACATGAATCGGTGTTAAAAGGCCACTTCGCTCGGCTTCGGTTCGCTTCGCTGTGACCTCAGATGCTGCTCCCAGCTGACTGAGCAGCTCGGACTGGGGGAGCTCACGTCGGCTCCAGTCGGATCCATCAGCCTGCCGGATAATTCATTCAGCCCCTGCAGCTCAGTGCTCTGGGATCCAGTTTCTGTTTGGCGCCCCGGAAGCTGCAGCCGTCCCATGGAGAGCTGCAGCCGGCGGTCTAATGGTTACAGCAGAAAAATCATTGGCTGCCATTAGATTACAGCCGCTCTGATTCATGAACGCTGGTACCGGCGAGCCCTAATGGGAATCAGATGAGAGCTTCCGTAGCTCTGGCGTGCGATTGGTGGAGTTGATAAAGTGTCTGTCTCAGACGATAACCATGCGTCTGTTTATCCATCAGCTCCAGATGTGCTTCAGATAACATCAGTTTTATTGCTTCGATCAATAGAAATCTAACGCTCTCCTTCATCTCCTGTGCAGTGATGTTTCATGGACCTCCGCCGGCCAAGATCAAACGAGAGGCCGCCGCCGCCAAGGAGCTGTCCCCGTGCCACCAGGACCGGAGTCCCATGCCCTACGGAGAGAAGTGCCTTTACAGCTACAGGTCAGCAGAGGCGCCCCCTGCAGGTCAGCCTGACGCCGGCTGCTCGTCGTCCGGCTGGTTAATCTCTTCTCGTCTTCCTCCGCAGTGCCTGCGACGGAAAGCCGAACCCCGGATTCAAGCCATTAACCCCCCCCTCCACTCCAGTGTCTCCCTGCCTCCCCAGCAGCACAGCGCTAACGCAGACCCCGCCTCCTCGTTCCCACGTGGCCAACCAGACGCCGGGGCTGCGGCAGCTGCAGCCACCTCCCAGCCAGCACGCTCTGCCCGCCCAGAGCCCCCCCTTCGCCGTGCCCTGCGCCCCCCCCAGCCAGGATGCAAACAGCTTCACGGAGCACAGGTGAGCGGCCGCCGCCCCCATCTTTACCTCCATCTGCAGTCTTTGTTTCTAGAAAACCGATATCTGATCCTCCATGTTTAGGTTCCAAAGGCAGATGTCAGAACCATGCATCCCTTTCCCCCCGTCTAAGAGCCAAACCCACCCCCCGTTCCTGCAGCAACCCCCCAGCAGCAACAGCCTGACCCGCGACGGTCGCCCTCCCTACCACCGGCAGATGTCCGAGCCGCTGGTGGCCGTTCCTCCTCAGGGCTTCAAGCAGGAGCTCATCGACCCTCGATACAGCGAGCAGGGCGGGGCCCCCATGGGTCCCCCCCGTCAGCAGGCGTTCCACCCTATGGCCATTAAACAGGAGCCGCGGGACTTTTGCTTCGACTCTGGTGAGTACCAGGTATCTCAGGAATGTTTGTTTTGGTCTCCAACACACGATTGTGAGTTTTAACGAGAGGCGGCTGTGTGCGCACACAGGGAGACAGAAGCAGAGATACAAAAGGCGACTGTAGAAGGAAACACACAGCCAGGCAGACGAGCTCCGAGCCAGCTCCCATGTCAGAGGATGAAGAGAGCACATCCAGTTAGTCACAGTCAGAGAAACAGGACTACACTGGAAAACAGGCCAAGCTCCAACATCTAGAAACAAAGGTGTTGATGGCAGCAGCACAGCTGATATTTCTCTCCAGGATGGAGTCACAGCCAAACAGGAACAGACCAGATGAAGCTACTATGAGAAAAAGCAGAGAGAGCAGAACGTTAGAGATTGAACTAACAGATTCTGCAGAGTGGGAGAATAGAGATAGAATGAAGCAGAATGATGAAAATGGGGGCCCTATGTCCTCCAGCAGTCTAAGCCTATAGCAGCAGAACTATAGAGATAGCTCAGGATAACCTGAGCCACTCTAACTAGAAGCTTTTAGCTTTTTGTATCGATGCATCGACACATCCGCAAGAGAATCGATTCATGTTTTTTTTTCCTCCGGTCTATTTTTATCCATTTTCTCCTGGGCGTAATTCTCCCTCCCGTGCTGCGGTGCCGCTAAACCCATTTTGCCCTCCTTAACTCGCTTCCTGGTTATACTCTTACAGCAGTTTGTTGCAGCAAGCTTCACACAGACATTTTTAAATTATGCTCAGTATTGAAGCGTGGTCTGGGCTACATACTGTGGGTCTAGATACGGCCGAGGCGGCGAGGAAGTGGGGGCGAGTTTAGTCCGACGACGGAGGGACATGAGGGCAAAAAGAGCGGAGATCCAGGTGGAAAAAGGGTCCCAGCGTTCTCACGCACCTCGCTCTTCTAGCGGGTCAAACTTCACGAGTTGTTTTCCGCAATTTCGGTCATAAAAACAAAACAAGCCGGCCTCCTGTCTGCGGCACTGTCTGCGGTCAGCTACAATCTGGGAGAGGAGCAGCGGAGCGTCTCTCAAGGGGGCGGTGACGTCAACACTCTGGAGCCTTCTTCTTCTTCTTTTTTTTAATGGCGGATGGCAAACAACTTATAGGTGCATTACCGCCACCTTCCAGAATGGAGTATGGACCAGATAAACTATTATATTCTCCCTAAAATACCCGTTCTTCTTAGAAAATTAAAAATACTACCAAAAACTACATCCCCAGATTACCTTTGAAACAATTCCCTTATATCTAGTTTATTTTTATTCCTGTCTAACTCTCTACGCAACATCTCTCTTTCCTGAGTATATTTATTACATTCTAAAAAAATATGTTGGACAGTTTCTCTGGAGCCGAGGTATTGCATTGAACTCATTACACTGATATTCTGCAGTATTTTTGCAGTATTTTTTGATGCAACTTTTCTACTTCTGTTATTTGCTGTTGTTTCTAAAGAAAATGCATAATGATATTACAGCTTTCATTGATTTTATTTCAAACTTGAAACTTTGTTTAGTCTGTAAGGTGTAAAAAAAATAATAATAATAATGAAAAAAAAATTAAACGATTAATCGAATCGAATCGTGGTGTATTCTTGAGTATCGAAAATAATCGAATCGTTGGGTCAGGAAATCAATACTGAATCGAATCGCCATGATGGATGTGATTTACACCCCTACAAGCTTTATCAAAAAGTCCACTGCCTTGAGATGGACGGATCACACATCAGATAAACCAAACTCCCAGAGTGTCGGGCGGCATATCGCTCGACCCAAACGCCCACTCATCCAGCTGTTGTGCCCCCCCACCCCTAGTGCATTATCCTTCCCTCCAGAAGGTTTCGTCCGGCCTCTCTGACGCCGAAACGGATTCGCTTTGTTCTGGATGTCTGCGCTGCCCTGTGATGTAATGACAAATCCTCTTATGCTCTTATGGCCTTTAAATACTCGCGTCACATCAGAGGAGCCTGTCCTCTGAGCACGAGCGCAGCGTTTAAGTTCAACTTTATAACGAGGAGGGGATCCTTGGAGAGACGCAGAGTGGAAAACATGGCGTCACCCCTCAGAGGGCGGGGCTGATGCTTTTGATCATCGCTGAGATTTAATCCTGTTTCAAGCCTCAGACGTGTACGGGCCACTCTGTCCTCCCTCTGTGATCTGTAGGTGGTCCCACCGAGATGAAGCCCCCCTTGTTTTTAGCCTTTAATCCCAGTTCTAACATTGTGCTCCTGTCTGCTCTGTTTCCAGAAGTGCCTAACTGCCAGTCGTCCTTCGGGAGGGCGGGGAGCTTCTACCAAAACCCCCATGAGAGTGAGTTCATCCCTGTTGGTGTCTTTGTTTGTCAGAGGGATTTTTTTCTTCCGTCCGTGAACCTTTTCCAACTTCATCTCCTTTACGCCGCCTTTATTCCTGTGTTTATTTCAGGCTACGCGTACGACAGAGATTCCCAGCTGTACTTTGATGACACCTGCGTGGTTCCTGAAAGGTTAGACGGTAAGGATCAGATCTGGTTCTAAGAAGGCTTCTTCTTGGGGGGGATACAGACAGTTTCATACCATCAAAGCCCTCTGAACATTTATGGTTTTTGTTATATTGCATAATGGATTTAAATCAAACTTTAGATTAAAAACCAGAGTAGGATTTCAACTGCATTTTATCTAATAGTCTTATTTTAAGAGTAAAAATACTCATTCCATTTGCAAATCCTCTTATTTACCTTCTCAAATTAAGAGTAAACACACTTAATTTAAGAAATCTTTACTTATATCTAGATTGTTTTTTCAGTGTATGAACACTGCAAAAAATGTAAATCTAAGTAAGTCAATTTTTTCTTAAAATAGGTGCTTTTTTTTTTTTTTATTGAGCAGTTAAGAGAGTAACTTTGCCAATGGAATAAGAACAATTTACATTTAAAATAAGAAAAAAACAACAGCAGTCTCTTCTTTCAAGTGCATAATACCTAATATCTTGTTTTAATGGTAAAAATGCTCATTCCATTGGCAGATCGTCTTAATTTCCTACTCAAATTAAGGGTAAATACACTTATTTTAAGAAACTTTTGCTCATTTTCCGAACGTTTTTGCAGTGAAGAAAATTTTATATCACAATATATTTGGGCTATAATCACAATACCTTTAAATGACCTTCAAAAACAATGGAGTGCATAACATTGCACTGATGTACTCATTCAAACTTTTAGTTTAGAATTGTATTTTATTTAATTTAACCAGCTCAAAGCTTTTCACTAATAATTCTGCCACATGATGTCTTTGGGTGTCAGAATTAAAACTTTAACAAGATCCCAGCAACCAAACAGGAAACACAGCAAAAACATGCAGTACTTAATAAAATGCAAAATAAAAAAAGGAAAATTAATGTAAAATTACAAAAACAAAAGTGGAAATACTGTCCAAAAATTAGAGCATTATCAGAGCATCTCCAAATTATTAGCATTGATCTTTACCTGCTGGGAATTTTAAAGGAGCAAAAAAAGTTATAAATTTTAAAACAAAACCTCTGAACATCACATCACAGGTATTACAGCATCTAAACAACATTTCAACAGCTTCTCTTCCTGTTTCTCTCTTATGGGATTATTTTTTCAAACGCCATCGGCTTCACCGCTGCTTTATTGAACGTTTTAATTGGTGTTCGGCGAGACGCCGACATGCAGAGTTTAACACATTCTTCATTTTGCAGCAGATGAATTTTAGCTGGTGGAATAATTTTGTGCTGCTACGTTTTGCAGCAATGGCTTTTTGTTCTTACAAATGAGTGCCTTTTGTTTGGCGTCCTCGGCAAGAAGTCCAAACCGCTTTGAGTGTTCAGCCAGCTCAGCATACGGTGTCAGGCCAGCATACCCTCAGTAATACGGATTACTGTCTCCGCTCTGCTTAAAGACAATCTCGCTGTTTTATTTCGCAATTTAGTCAGGTTTTTGTCATCGTTTGCGCATAAAAGAACAAATAAATCACTCACTAGGTTCGTTACACGCATCAGGTTTAAAAATAAACATTGCATGTCCGTTAGATGAGGATCTTATTAAAGAATGATCTGCATTTTTTTCACAGAGAATTAAATATTTAATTTGTTTTTAGTTTAAGTGACATGCCGATCATTCTATTTTTATAGTACATGAAGAACTACTGAAATTATTTTCAGATTACACATCAATAGATTAAAAAGTCCACGGGGGGATAGGAATGACTTTAGGATCAGGATTCACTCAGTGATAAAAGCCCACTGGAACAATCTGAATCCATCCTATGGGACTGATAACCAATAATAACGATCATGCATGTGTGTTCGTATTACTAAGGGAATGCTGGCCTCAAAGAACACCATATATTGCTTAGCTGAAACACCTGCTGTAGCTGTAGCATGAGAGAAAATAATCCTGTTTATAGGAGGAGTTTATGATGCATTCAAAGTGTGTGGGGAAAAATAAAACTTGCCGAAATAGATTCAGACGGCTGAATGTCGTCAATTAGAATTTGAATTCAATGGCTGCGATGGAGCCATTTTAACGATCGTGCATGGGAAAACGCGATGCATCGAATTTATTCGATATATCGCCCCCCCTAGTTGGGACACTGTAAAACGGACAGATGGGAATGTTTGCAACTATGCAGAAAATGAAGAGAAACAACTTTTACAGCAAATTTGCTATTGGTTTCTCACACGTTTCATTTATAAAAAGATAAAAACCAGACGGCAGTTTGCTCCATCTTCCTATATGCGGGTCTGGCTCCTTGTGTAAACTCCCATTTAATGGGTTTTTAGATGTTGAAATGGAGAAGTTAGTTTGTTAGGAACATGTTGACTATGCATAATGAACAGCTCGTGCATTTTGTTCTCCATCTGGTAGGAATGTCTCACCAAACTGTGGCCGAGATGCAGAACATTTCTGATTCACACTTGTCTTTTTGTGCCTTCTGTCCCTTTCTCCTCGTCTCCCCTCCGTTCCTCCTCCGTCTCCAGGGAAAATAAAACAGGAGCCTTCTGCTTACCGGGAGGGCCCTCCTTACCAGCGCCGCGGCTCCCTGCAGCTTTGGCAGTTCCTGGTCACCTTGCTGGACGACCCGGCAAACGGACACTTCATCGCCTGGACCGGGCGGGGCATGGAGTTCAAACTCATCGAGCCCGAGGAGGTAGGCGCCCGCTTCCTGCTGCCGTCTTCTCCTGTCGTAGCTGTGAATCTAAAGTGAGCGCGGTTTCTGTGTGCGTCTCGTTTGGCAGGTGGCTCGTCGCTGGGGAATCCAGAAAAACAGGCCGGCCATGAACTACGACAAGCTTAGCCGCTCGCTGCGGTATTACTACGAGAAGGGCATCATGCAGAAGGTAGAGGCATGTTTCTTTTTTCTCTCTCTTTGCACCTGGGCGTCCAGGAGTTTGTAAATCTTCCCGTCAACTTTCTCTGATGAAGTCTCTCTGATGGTTTTCAGTTCAGTTAATTTATCTAAGGTGTTGCTGGCAGCACCAAAGCTGTTATTTCTCTCCAGGATGGAGGCTCAGCCAAACAGGAACAGACCAGATAATAAATAAATTGAACTTTATTGATCTCACCATGGAGAAATTAACCCTCTGCATTTAACCCATCTCCTCTGGGAAGCAGTGCACTGTGCAGCGCCCCAAACGGGGGTTAAGGGTCCTACTCTGAGACCCAGAGGCGCAGTCTTTGGGAGTTGGTTTCAAACTCACAACCTCAGGATTCCAAGCCCTATGCCCTAACCAGTAGGCCACCACTCCCCAGATGAAGCACCTATGATGAGAAAAAGCACAGAGTGTAACATTAGAGACTGAACTAACAAATCCTGCAGAATGGGAGAATAGAGATGGAATGATGAAAAGGGGTGACCATGTCCTCCAGCAGGCTAAGCCTATAGCAGCGTAGCTATAACTCGGTTCTGTCTGTTCCTCCTCAGGTGGCGGGTGAACGGTACGTCTACAAGTTCGTCTGTGATCCCGAGGCTTTGTTCTCCATGGCGTTCCCCGACAACCAAAGGCCCAACCTGAAGGTGGACCTGGACGGCCTGCAGGGCCTGGAGGACGACACCGTCCCCCTCACCCACTACGACGACGCCGCCTCCTACCTGCTGGAGGCGGGGGAGCAGTGTGCCCCCGCTCTGGCCTTCCCTGACAACTACGGCTACTGACAGGCTGCTTGTGTCCTGACGCACAACACACACGTACATGCAAACACTCCCAAAGTTTCTCCTCGCGCCCGCTCTGAAATTTCAGAGCTGGAACCGCAGAGCTGCCTGGAGGGGAAAGTGACCTCTGCTCCTTCCGGGTTCCATCTTCTGCTCCCTGGAAAATCCCTCTGAAACCTCCGGAAGCTCGGCAGCTCGTAAACGAGGGAAGAACCCGCCGCGGCTCCTTTCGCCGCCAGGAGAGGTTCCTGAAACCAGGGCGAACTGGACTCTGTAGCTCCAGCGCTCTCCAAAGCAAGGCGAGGGCCGTCGTTGCCACGGAGACCAAAGCCCAGCGGCTTTGAGCGGACTGACAGACGCTCTTTGTACGAGACGGCGGGAGTCGTCGTTTTGTCCGACTTTGTGACAATCTTGTTTAACTTAGAAGCAACCAATCACAAGCCGTTTCAGATTCAGCACTATTCTGTCCAGAGTTGCCTTTCTGGGCTCCCATGTTTGCATCCGATCAGTGAAAGGGCTTCGATTCGCTTAAAGACTTCGTCTCTGTAGATAGAACATCCTTTTTCACAGCGGACTGTGGGCTTGTTGGTTCAGCTGCTCTGTTACGTAAATGTTGTTTGATTCTGTGTAAGGTTTTCTGTGCAGCCCCCGCCCCCCCCCCCCCCCCCCCTCACTGAGGAGAGCACATGGCGCTCCCTGTTCCCCACATCATGTCCTAATTTTCTGTTGTATCTGGGTGCTTGGCGTATCCTCTGCAGTGTTCTCGCTCCTCTGATGCCCCGGTACGGCGGTGGCATCAGGAGGCTGCATGCTCACACAGACGGCGTGGGGGGGGCCCTCTGCATGCTGGAATCAGTCCGCTGACATATCCCTACTGGATTTGGACACAGTTTGTGATATTCTTTTTTTTTCTGGGGGGGGGGGGGGTCTTTTCGTTTTTGAATTTCAAGCAAAGAAAAACTTCTATAAAGTATCTATTTTTGCTATAAGGCTGCATTGGTTTTGATTTGAATGTGTTAAGCTATAAAATGCAGCCTGTAATAAAGATGATGACGACGATGGCTCCGGGTTGGACAGCAAACGAGGACGCGTTCCGTCCCACAGAGGCCAAAGCGAAGAAGATCCCGTCCAGCCCGGACGCACGGAGGATCTGCTTATGTACAGATTTCAGCCCCCGCCCCCGTCTGTTTCTTACTCTGCTGAGTTTCTGTACCGGGTACAATAAAAGCTCCTTGATGATACGCTGCTTGTTTTTATCTTTTCGCTCCTTCTGTCCTCCTCCTTCCAGCAGTCAGCTGACTGACCGCACGCATCTTGCGGCCACTGGCTGACCTGCCTGATTTCCCGAGTCACATGCCTCTCCTCGCTGCTGCTCATATTTTTCTGGGTAAATGATTGCTCTTTTGGGCCGTGGTAAATGTGTTTTGAGCAATGCCTGGTGAGCTGACTGCAAAGATAACTTCAGCTCCTGCAATCCTGGACCCTGAGGGCAAGAAGATCTTGTTTAGTTATACTTTAATGCGCTCCATTGTTGCCCTGTTATCTCTGCTAGCAGCATAAAGCGAACAAGACAGGCAAAACATGTTATGCAGCTTATGAAATATTGAGTTAAAGGATAAAGCATAAATATTGAACTACATTGGGTGCTTTTGTAGAAGAAAATGGAGCCTTTTCTGATAGCGTTGTCAGAGACTGAGGCTAGAATCTTAAGAGATCAATAACGGTTTACTAAATCTGCTTTTCTCAGAGGAAACCTTTCTCAGTTTTGAGCTGCTAGAAGCGGACATGTCCGAATACTACCGTTACTCTTTCCTTCTGCCTTATTTTAAAGCACCATATTATCACAGGTGTGGAAGAATAATTGATATGGCGATATATCAGGATTATTAGCTGCCCGGTATATCGTTCTTTCAATTCAGTTTATTTATATAGGGTCATCTCAAGGCACTTTACAGATTCAATTTAACCAGATCATCCAGTCAGATTGATTCAAAGTTTACTATCTAAAGAAAACCAGTTGATTGCATCGACTCATTGACTCAAAGGTAATCCCTTACACTAAGGATGCTTTTAGCGACAGTGGAGAGAAAAAACTCAATTTTAACAGGAATAAACCACCAGAAGAAGCAGGCTCAGTGTGAGTGGTTCCAGTTCCTAATATATATATATAGGGGAGACCGGGTATGGTTGTAACATGGGGAGAGTTGTAACACCACCAGTTCCAGCAATCAGGGATAAGATAGGAGTCACATGATCACTTCAGTGTTTACCCCGCTTCCTCCCCAATCACATTTTGTGGTTGTCAAGGCTGGAAACGGGTGCATGCAGATACTAAGGAGAAAAAACGGATTTTGAGGTAAGAAAGTAAATTTTTTGACCATGACTATATTTTGTTTAGTACTTATACTGTTGCAGATAAAACCATATTACTTACATTAAATGAAAGTGTAATTTCTCCGGCAAAATGTGATTCATTTCCTCGTGCTAATTTCAAACCGCTATGCTACTACAGCTAGCTAAACATGGCTGACAGAGTTGGGGTGGGTTGTAACACATCTTTAAAAAGTGTTACCCTATGCAGTCTCTGGGCCCACCAAGCCTGCAATAAGTCACACTTATTCACCACCATACGTTGTGAAATGAGTAGAAAATAGAGTCAAGACATTGACAAGGTTAGAAATAATGATTTGTATTTGAAATAAGATTTTTTTTACATCAAACTTTGCTTTCGTCAAAGAATCCTCCATTTGCAGCAATTCCAGCATTGCAGACTTTTGGCATTCTAGCTGTTAATTTGTTGAGGTAATCTGGAGAAATTGCTCCCCACGCTTTCAGAAGCAGCTCCCACTAGTTAGATTGGTTGGATGGGCACTTCTTGCGTACCATACGGTCAAGCTCCTCCCACAACACCTCAATGGGGTTCAGATCTGGGGACTGCGCTGGCAGCTCCATTACCCATAGAATACCTGCTGCCTGCTCTAAATAGTTCTTGCACAATTTGGAGGTGTGTTTAGGGTCATTGTCCTGTTGTAGGATGAAATTGGCTCCAATCAAGCGCTGTCCACTGGGTATGGCATGGCGTTGCAAAATGGAGTGATAGCCTTCCTTATTCAGAATCCCTTTTAACCTGTACAAATCTCCCACCTTACCAGCACCAAAGCAACCCCAGACCATCACATTACCTCCACCGTGCTTAACAGATGGCGTCAGACATTCTTCCAGCATCTTTTCCTTTGTTCTGCGTCTCACAAACGTTCTTCTTTGTGATCCAAACACCTCAAACTTTGATTCATCCATCCACAACACTTTTTTCCAGTCTTCCTCTGTCCAATGTCTGTGTTCTTTTGCCCATCTTAATCTTTCTTTTATTGGCCAGTCTCAGATATGGCTTTTTCTTTGCCACTCTGCCCTGAAGCCCAGAATCCTGCAGCCGCCTCTTCACTGTAGATGTTGACACTGGTGTTTTGCGGGTACTATTTAATGAAGATGCCAGTTTAGGACCTGTGAGGCGTCTGTTTCTCAAACTAGAGACTCTAATGTACTTATCTTCTTGCTCAGTTGTGCAACGCGGCCTCCCACTTCTTTTTCTACTCTGGTTAGAGCCTTTTTGTGCTGTCCTCTGAAGGGAGTAGTACACACCGTTGTAGGAAATCTTCAATTTCTTAGCAATTTCTCGCATGGAATAGCCTTCATTTCTAAGAACAAGAATAGACTGTCGAGTTTCAGATGAAAGTTCTCTTTTTCTGGCCATTTTGAGCGTTTAATTGACCCCACAAATGTGATGCTCCAGAAACTCAATCTGCTCAAAGGAAGGTCAGTTTCGTAGCTTCTGTAACGAGCTAAACTGTTTTCAGATGTGTGAACATGATTGCACAAGGGTTTCCTAATCATCAATTAGCCTTCTGAGCCAATGAGCAAACACGTTGTACCATTAGAACACTGGAGTGATAGTTGCTGGAAATGGGCCTCTATACACCTATGTAGATATTGCACCAAAAGCCAGACATTTGCAGCTAGAATAGACATTTACTACATTAGCAATGTATAGAGTGCATTTCTTTAAAGTTAACACTAGTTTAAAGTTATCTTCATTTAAACGTACAGACTTTTTCCTTCAAAAATAAGGACATTTCAATGTGACCACAAACTTTTGAGCGGTAGTGTAGATATATGGATTTTAGACTTTTCAGGGGGGTTCGATAAGCATCTCCCTGAAATGAGTTTTTGAAAGTTTGCAACATCAATATCTTCTGATGAATATACACAACACTTGCTTTTTTTATCTATACATTTCATTTTGATAGCTGGGGGTGAGGAACCACCAGTCATGCAGGCCTGAATATTACTGCTCTTAGGATTTGTGTTTGGTCCCACTATTGTCTCATTTTCTATCAGGTTTTATGAACTATTCAACTGAATGGATAAGACAACGTTGAAAGCATGATTTATTCCACTAGTTCAGTTCTAAGTGAAGCACATAATTTTGTACACAATTTTTTTCTTTGCAAGCCTTTATTTCAGTCAAATATAATACAAATAGGGCCGGATCTATCAAAGGTTTGCGTGTATAAAAACGTGAGCTATTTCACTGCGCACGCTAAAAAATGTACAAACTGATCTATCAACAGCGTGCTAAAAGGATTTGGTCTTTAAAACGTGCTAAATAGCGCCTCCTATCCATTTAGTACTTTTTCTGCAATGAATATACAATATGGGGCGTTTACACGCAAAAGTGCGTCTTGTGGGAGGAGAACATGTAAATATATTAATTTAGCACTCGCAAAGTGTTTTATCAAACCTGAAAGCAATTTTGCTAACGGTATCTGACTCTATATTTAACATGTTTCAAAAGAAGGTGCAAATGGTGTGTATGCGTAATTGCGCACACATGGCAGCGGTTATTGGCGCAAGAAGGAGACATCGAAATGAAGAAAGGAGACGCAGAGAACGCATTTTTTCACTCCGTGTGAATATTTTTGGAATGAACGAGGAAACGATCATCAAAACATATCGTTTATCCAGCATTGCCATTTTGGAGCTGTTGGGGGAACTCCGAATGGATTTGGAGCCAGCCACAAGGAGGACCCACGCAATTCCAGATATCACAAAACTCATTGCAACATTGGATCTCCCAATCTCGTTTTTCAGAAGTGCTGTCTGACGTTCTAAATGCCATGTCGCCCTGACGTCCTACCGGAGAAACCCGACCTCCCCCCTGCGCCTGTGGAGCAACATGCCAATGCTGCGGGGATGGATACGCGCAGTAATCTCATCCACAGTCACTTCTTGTGAGCCATTTGGTATGTGCATTTTTCTACAGGCCAATACAAAACACCTGTTTTTATATATATATATATATAATGTATATGTATATATATATATATACCACAAAACGCGCAAAACCATTTAAATAGGGCGTCTCCAACAGTTTTGCACCTGCCGCCAGTTACGCAATCACTCTTGTTAAATCACCCGCTAACCATGGTTCAGCCCCTCGCGCAAAATTCCAGTTAGCGAGCGCAAATTACTGCACGCAAAATTTCATCTTGATAAATCCGGCCCATAATACGTTTACAATGTACAACTGATGATACTCTACAGTAGACAGAAACAAGGATTTTGCCACTCAGTTCAATACTTTGAAAATCTGAATTTCAAGCCAATAGTGTTATTGGAACCCAGGACAAGACCTTGTTACCTTTGTAACATTAAAAAATATGCATATTGTGATGGCAAAAATGAATGTCAATATAATAAGAAAAATAACATTGCATTAATGCTGATACTGGCACTTACATTTTTTAGTTTATAAACTGAAATATAATTGTTTACTAGGCTTATTAACTTCTTAATTAATTAGCTTTTTTTTTCTTGACTTATTAACTTTTTTTTCTTCAACTTAATTTACAATAGGTAATATATCATTTAAGGCAAGGGTGTAGGTTTGCATAGGGACAATAGGGACATGTCCCCTACCAAAACTTGGGACGGACCTACCTGTCCCTGCAAACAATTAGATGTGAATACCATGTTTATAATTTACAATACAGCGTAGTTGCAGCAATAGAGGAGTTCTGGAATGGAGAATATTGACAGACAAAAACATGTTTTATCTAAAATGGAAAATGTTTATCAATTTTTTTTACAATTTTGGTATTATTGTTGCTCTAAGTTGGTCGCTCTGTGAGCTAAAGACATCTTTTAGAGTCTCGATACTCTATAATGATTAATCGATTACTAA